GGAATGAACCCAAGTTTTAAGCAAAAAATTGGTGCCATTCTATATATGTGGATTTTCACCTTTTCACTTACACCATTTTTGTCAATTGCCAGCATCAATGTCACAATTTGGATAACTTTCGAAGATCCATTTTTGGAATCTAACGAGGCATTGAATTGTCTTTGGATACTTACTCCTCAAAGGTGACAATTAAAGGAAACTGCAGATTTTTGGTAAGTATTTTTTGTTCCTATCTTTGTAACAGAAATAAATGACAATTAAATGATAATTAATTTTCGTGTCAGAAATAAAGCAGAAAATTTAGAAACAAATAACAATGTAAATTTTAATTTCTGAAAAGCATAAAACTTTTATTTATGAAATAAAAGCTCCACAAGCTAGGTTGTAAATAAATCATAGCTTTCGGCCTTCGAAGATACGAATTTGAAAATCAGGCGAAGCTTGTCCGTATTTCAAGCACTTGGGACACGATGCCATATATTAAGCAATTCACTCTTCAAATATGCACTATCGAACTCCTAAAAGTCTCTATAATTTTTAAAATCTGACACCATATTTAAAGTTTTTTATTTTTCATTTTATTTAAAATTTTAATTAATTAATATTCGATATATAATTAATAATTTTAATTAAATAATATTTTTGATTCATCTTGACTTAACACCAACATGGTAAATTAATAATTCACTAAATTTATAAAATAATACATTTTAAAAAATACATCAGTGCTACTTAATATATAAATTAATAATCTCTTTATGCATTAAAATTATATACATACTCGACTCAATTAAGAGGCCTTTGTAAAATATGATATTATTTGTTTATTTTTGTAATTAATGTCTCATTGGACCTCATCTCTAGCATTTCTTAGTGTATTAAGAAGCTTTACTATAGCGTTCTTGTATTGTAAGAGAAATTGATATTGGCTGATAAATACTTTGATGAACTCTTGATCATATTTGATATTGTTGATTAGCTCACTTGCAAGCTAAACCTTTTTTACACCAATTGTTGCAACTGCTTTTGGTGCAATTTGGATTTTTTATCTTATATTTACACAAATTAAATTTTTACGTATTTCATTTATCATCGTTGATTTATTTCCACATTTGAGATAAGAAGCCATTGTGTTTAGTTTTTCCGTTTCTGATAATGCATGTTCTTCTTGTAGATGTTTTTGTTTAACTTAATGTTCACGAGTATATTAATTAAGCATGCATCAATGAAATTTTTGTTTGTTACAAAAATAGATAGATCCATGACATTTATTTACTAAGACTAATTACATTCATGAACTTGTTTTGGTTAAACAAATACATTAAATAATGATGATTTGTACTTGGCAATTAGGTAATATTCTTATAATTACAATATATAATATATGTATTAAGTTCAATGTTTTGAAAAAAAATAAAAAATACGTTGATAAATTAATTTTTTATTAATTAATGCATAAATCAATAAATTATTAATTTATTAATTAAATAATATCTCAATTAATTAATAGATTTTCATAGTCCAAAAATATTAATTTATAGAGATTTTACTGAATATATATTACTCCAAATAAATACCAAT